CTGGTCGCAGCTTTGCTCCCACTTACTTGTGGAGGAATCCAAAAACAGGAGTTATTTTTAAAAAGGGTAGGGCAGAAAGAAGTGTTGGAAAGGCACTCTCAGACGCTGGAAGGATCATGAGGAAGAGGGTTCTGGTTAGTTACATCACCCAGAGCTTCAGATTTTTAATAAATACTGATTGATGGATGGAAGTCAAAGTGAAAGCCAAGGAAAGATCTACACATGTTCAGAGATTTTTGAGTTAGAAATGCTCCCTTTCCAACCCTTTCCCAAAAGGAAATCACATGGGTGAAGCAAAGTAGTGATTAAGGAACTAAACAGGCCACAGCGTTCTCTGGGGCCTTCTAAGTTCCCAGGCCAGACCTGCTGCCTGCTTGCTGAGATGAGCATATGCTCCCAGCCACAAGCTTCACTTCTCCTGACATCTTTCTGCCAGATGGTCGTTCTTGAATTCTAGAGGTGCTTGGCCCTCCTGGTTCCTGCAACCTGAGCCGAGAGAACTTTGATCCACCAATCCCCCCCCCCCCCCCCGCGCCCCCAGCCCCGCTAGGGAGCAAGGCCTGGCGCCTGGACAGCAAGGAGAAGCCAGGCCACGACCTTGGGCACTCTGAGAAGGCCTTTTCTGCCCGCCTCTGTGTGCCCGAAGTAGAGCACGGGCGCTGATTCTGAGGGTCCCAGAGAGCCTTCTCCCGCCTGGCCAGCTAGCCAGCACAAACCCATTCTTTTCACCGTTTACTGGGTGAACGGGGCTCTCCATTCGGTCTTGAATCTCCCTGTGGGGTTATCCTGATGGCTTTTAATTACAATCCAGCAAATCCAGAATCTCAGCAAATTACAAATGTTGTGTAAACACAATCAGGGTGTGGATCCAACCCACTAGTAATTCTTAATAGAAATGAAAAGGAAAAGAAAAAAATAACCTTAAAAAGTCTAAAAAAGCAAAAAAAAAAAATCAATTCTGCAGGGCCTATGCCTTGGGGATTTGCTTTCTTGGGGACCCTCCCAGCGCGTCCTCCAGCCCACCCTGCCGCCGCGACTCCCCGCGGTGATTCTGGCTGAGGCTGGGGGACTCTGGGACTTGGCCGCTGCAGCGGAGGTCTACGGGGTGCCTGCCTGCCGGAGTCCTGAAGAGCCCTGCGAGCCTGCCTTCCGCTGTCCCGCGGCCTCCGCAGGATTCCAGAAAAAGCGCTCCGGATCGGGGAAAGGGGGCCCTGCCGCGTGCCTCCGGACCCTGTCCCAACACTGGCGTCTCCCTTTTCCCAGACACCCTCTTAGTCTGACCCTGAGTTCCAGTTTCTGGGCTTGGAAGACATTCTGCCTGCCCCTCCCTCCCCAAGGTCCTCAAAGGCCACCCCAACCGCTGGAGCGGGACTCCCAGCCTCGGGCCTCTAGAGCGACGGCAGGAGGTGCGCTGCTGGGGCTGAACTAGCCCCACACAGTCGGAGGTATTTGTACTTTCAGTCCCGGAGACATTTTGGGGAAGTGTGCATAGAAAATTTTATATAATATAATCTATATACATACATATACATATTTGGTCGACAAATGTTAAGCAAATGTGTCTGATGTTTTTGTTGAAGCCGTTAGCATCCTAGTTAATATTGGTAGGACTGGTTGATATTATTACAGGAATGACAAGTGGATAATGTTAAGGGAGTGCCTGATCCCTCCGGAGAACACGGCGGAATATAAGTGGAGACGTCCGACTGTGTTTCCAAGGAGGGCCCATCTCTGATCTCTCTTCCCTGTCGCTACCTCCTGGTCCCTAACCAGACTGACTGACGGCACGCCAGGGACAAGGCAGCTTTCTCCCAAGGACGATCTTCTTCGACTGACTGAGATCGCTGGGTCTCCAGGGGAAGCAGCATGTCCAGGGGATGTCCGAAGCCCCTGACCTCTTACCCAGACCTTTGTCACAAAGGGCAGTTCGGTCAGTGTCGGGACAAAAAGAAACGTAAAATTCAACTGTAAATGAGGGTAGAGAAGCAGGGAGAGGCTAGGGCCTGGTCCAGGTCTGAGCAGGCTCCGGGAGATTGGAGGAGGCTGACCGGGCTGCGGGGACAAACCCAGCGGTGCCTCGCTGGGTGTGCAGGGAAGGGAGGTCCCCTTGGCCCTCTCACCCCAGCTCATCCAGCAGGACGCCTGGGGAAGACCTCTCTGTGCGATTAAGTAGCGTCCATTGGAGCGAGCGGGTGGCACTGCCACGTGTGGCGCTCAGCTGAGGCTCGCGGAGGCTGCGGTGTTGGAAATCCCGGCGGAAGGCATCTGCCTCAGCGCTCGCACTCGGTGCGGGCCCACCCGGGTGCGCGTCCGCCTCCCACCAGCATCCCGCTAGCCCTGCCGTGCGGCTCGCACCGGCCCAGACGCGGACAGATGTTTACTGCTTAGAGCCCCGACCGCTGGGGAGACGGAGCGACGGGCGCGGCGCACCGCTTGGCGCTGGCGGGGCTTTGGGCTCCCGGTCGGGGGTGCGAGCGGGCAGGAGGGGAGGGCGAGGGGATGGAAATGGGGGGGGGGAGTGGGTGGACTAATGATGAAAAAGTCTCCTCCATCCCGGCTCCTTAATTAAATGCATGGAAAGAACCGAGGCGAGCACATCTGGTTTCAATCTGCAGTCCTTTGATGGCATCAAATGTTCTTTTCCCAGATCAGGGCTGGGAGTTCTGGGCTAACTATGGCCGTTTGGAGCCCAGAAACCATTTACACACACTCGGACCCTTCTTTCTCTCCAGTCGAGCCTCTTGGCTATAGAAGGGAAAAAAAGGGGTAAAAGTCTAGTAATCAAGCCAATGGGAAAGTATGTATGTGTGTGTATATATGTTTGAAGGACATAAAATGCCACAAATAAGCACTTAATATTTTACTTACTCGTCATATAGTAACTCATTTCTAATGAGACTATTAAAGCTGTTACCAAATTCCAACAGGTCATGAAAAAATCCCTCAGCACCTCTCTGTTCCTTGTCAAGTTAGGGCTCAGCAGACGGACGGCAGAGCATTATCCGTAGACTTGGGGGTTCCTCTATCCCTCCCTGTCCTTCCTCCTACGCCCCCTCCCCCGCCCGCCCAGGCACCCGGGTAGGACCCTGAACTGCGCAGGACCCTAGCCCGGGCCCTCGCTCCAGGAATGCCCCTGCCTCCTTCTCATCTGGGCAACGCGACCCTCCCGGCTTAGCGTTGTCGCCTAGGGAAGCGACCTTGGCCGCAAGGAAGAGGTTACGAAATTGGCCAGAGTGGGGGGAGGAGGGAGCAATTATGCTACGGTCCTTGAGTCCTTTCCTCCAGCTAAATAAATATGTAAATTTCCTACTGCCTTGGCCCCGGGATTCCGAGCGGCGCGAGAGACTCAAATCGATTCGGCGCCTTCTAGATCTCCCTTAACCTGCCTTTGGTTCGCGGAAGAGCGTGGGAGAGCCTCCCATTATTATCGTTCCTTGTTATTTTATTACATTATTTAATAGGCTGTCTCTACGGAGCCAAACATAGCCTTAATTTGCTTACTCTCTCCTTCGTTCTCTCTCAGACACTCCCCCACCCCCACCCCAAAACTGTTAGAACTGCAGGAAACGCTAAAAAAAAAAAAAAGAGCAGAGAGAAGAAAATTTGATTGAGATAGTTGTGGATTTTTTCCAACAAGTTTCCCCGCAGCTGTTATCAAAACATGCAAATGAGATTTTCCAACAGGATCTTAAACAAATCTGGAGGAGTTAATGCCCAAGCAAAATAATCAGCCCGTTTGAAGTGACTGTGGGTTTCAGTTTGTCTTTTCTCCCCGTGATACTATTGCAGGGGAATGATAATTAGACCTTTACTTTAAAAATCCAAAGGGGCTCTCTCGCTTTCTCTTCCCTCCCTTTTCGCTCCCTCCTCCCTCTCTCGCTCCCTCCCTCTCTCTTTCTCTCTGGCTCAGATGTTGGCAAAGGGGGTTTTCTTAATCAGACTGTTTTTTGGTCCGAGGGAAAGGAGGAAGAAGGAGATTGTGATGGAGAAAGGGGGTCTGTAAAACGTCAGGCACCGCACAAAGGCTTTGCCACGTAATTACAGGCTCCTATTAAGTCGAGATCTGCCCTCCCAGGGGTCTCCAATTTTCTTGTATTCCCTACAAAGCCTCCTCTGCATGCCAGTTTGTGCCTTTTGAAGTGCCAGAGAGCTTCTTGATCCAACTGAGAAGGAAAAAGGAGCTCAGCAAGAAGAGGGGGAGAGCGAGAAGGGAAAGGGGGGAAACCCACCACCACCCTCCTTCGGACTCTTGAAGCCCTTTTTTTTTTCCTTCTTACGAAAAGTAAAGTGAGAATCCTGCTCTCCAATACATCTGCAAGACATCACCCTCTCCTCCTGAAACTTTAGTCACTCCTGAGAATCCACAGGAGTGCAGAGAGGGGGAACACGTTTTCTTGAAGATGTTTTAAAGCTGGAACAAGCCTTCTTCTGTTGGTGCTTGAACTCTTGCCTGGGAATAACTTTTTTAACCTTGAAAAAAAAACCACTTTGATTCTTCTCTCCCACCCCTTCTTCTCTCTTCTTCTGTTTGCCTAACTCCCCCGCCCTGCTGGCCTCCCCTTTCCTTTCTCCCCCTTATTATTATTTTTAGTGTGTGCGTGTGGACGCTTTTGGAGAGCTGGAAGGAATTTTTTTTTTTTTTTTTTTTTTTTTTGCTCCTGACTTGAACATAGGGTGACTTTTTAATTTTATTTTTTGGTGTGGATTATCTCCTTGGACCGCGCCGGACTTGGCCTCAGGAAAGCAACCGAGGCTTTCGAAGGCTGTTGGTGCAGAACGCTCTGCTCTGCAGAAGGGGGTCCCCCGCCCTCTTTCCAATTTTTTTTTTTTTTGTCCTTCCCCTCCTTCTCTCTCTCTCTCTCTCTCTGTCTCCCTCTCTCTCTCTCTCTCCACTCCCCCCTCTCTTTTCCCCACTCGGCTCCTCTCCCCCCTCGCGCCCACAGCGTTTGGTGTTGATTCGAGCGGGAAGAGGGGGGTGGGTGGGATCGGAGGGGGAGACCATGACCTCCAGCTACGGGCACGTTCTGGAGCGGCAACCGGCGCTGGGCGGCCGCTTGGACAGCCCGGGCAACCTCGACACCCTGCAGGCGAAAAAGAACTTCTCCGTCAGTCACCTGCTAGACCTGGAGGAAGCCGGGGACATGGTGGCGGCGCAGGCGGACGAGAGCGTGGGCGAGGCCGGCCGAAGCCTACTGGAGTCGCCGGGACTCACCAGCGGCAGCGACACCCCACAGCAGGACAGTGAGTGAGGGACGAATGCCCGCGGGAGTGTCTGTCCGGGACCGGGTGCCAGGGTACCCGCGGGGCGCCTGGAGCCCGCCCGGACCACGGGGAGAAAGTCGGGGGCCAGGAGAGGTGGTGGCAGTGGCCGGAGGAAGGGCCAGTCAGTCACAGACAGGGAGGAAAGGATGATGAAAGGAGGGATTTGCCCGGGCGGGTGCAGCCCGGGCGGGCGCTGCAGGGAGGCCCGGAGGCCCTGAAATCGGGGTTGGGGACTCCGTCCTCGGCGGACTCTCGCCGAAGCCGACTGGGCTGCCCCTCAGTCCCCGGCGACCACGGCTGCCAGGTCTTCCTGCATGCGGGACAACCGGGCTGGCAGGGAAAATGTCGCAGAGGGGTGTAAAGTCGGGGAGCCTGTCCTGTTTGGGAATGCAGCGGATTAAAAACGCCTAGTTGAGTCGGGAGGGCTTCTCCCGCGTCGCGAGTGTGGGTTCGGGCGCAGGCAGGAGGAGAGGCGGAGGGCACCGCGCACAGTAGCGAGACCCGCGCGACTCCCGCGGCACACCGAGCGAGGGCTCCGAAGGCCGGGGTGTGCGGGAGGGGCCGCGCTGGAGCGCCCAGCCCCAGCAGCCAAGCTGCTCTCTGTCCTCTGCTCTTTCCGCCCTCCACCTGCAGATGGGTTTGAGACCCCTGGCAGAATCAAAGGCCTGTGCCTCGGGAAGACTCGGGCGAAGCAAAGGGAGTGTCCTTTGGGGTGAAACCCGAGCTCCCGCCCCGCTCCGTCCCGCACAAGAGAGATGCGCGGGGGAAGTGCGGGCTCCAGTGCGGACCCTGGTGTCACATTCGACGAGCTCTCCCTATTGGCCCTAAGACCTCCGGAAAAGTCCATGCATTCTCCCTTTCCCATCCTTCCCGGCTGATATCGCGCCCCCATGGAAATCTCGCCTGGCGTTATTAACCGTGCCTTAAAAGGTGACTCCAAGTGTATCCATACGTTCTGGAGTCGCTAACAGACCTGTCACCTGAATCATCCCAGGTGACATGGGGCTTGGTATTTTCTCCTTGAGATTTCAAGAGTCTGAACTTGGCTGGAAGTCTTTTAAACGAGGCAAATTCTTTTCCATTTCATTATTTGTAGATTGTTATTTTGTTCAAATTTGGAACCTCTGGAAACGAGACCCCGCCGGCACGCCATCATTTGAAAAAAAATTGCCAATATCAGACTCTCAGGAAATAGATAGACAAAGCAAACAGGACCCAGAAACAGCTGGATACAAGGCCCTGGCAAAGCAGTGGGAACCCAGCATGCCTCAATGAAACAGGCGGCAAGGAGAGCCCCTCTCTCTGGCAGTCCACCTGCCCCTTGCCCAGTTTCCTTGGTACAGACCTAGAATCCCCTCAGGGTGTTTTTGTTTTTGTTTTTGTTTTTGTTTTTAACCAAAATCGAACTGGGGTCAGTCCACCCTAGTGGACTTCTGCCTTCCCAGAGGCAGAAGGCGATGGGGAATTTAGACTGAGAGTAATCTGGCCTGGTCTGTCACTAAAGAAAGGCGGCCAGTTCGGAGGAATGAAGACCTGTTGTCCCCAAGCCCCAGGTAATGGCTGGGCACAGACGCAGAGGCTTCCTTGTTGAAGATATTGGTGCTCTGGGCGCGGGGTGGGGGGCGTTGTTCATACTGCAGCATGGGTTAATTGTTTGCATAGACACTTTGAACTCCAGGAAAGTGCACAGCGAAATAATGTGATTGCTTGTAAACATTTTACTAGGGAAAATTTAAATATGCAAAGCATAGGGAGAATAGTGTTCGGAATCTCCAAGTGCCTATCACCCAACTTCACTGATTTCTGCACCTTCTGCTGGTCTTGTTTTGCCATGGTTAATTATTAATTGCAACATTTATCACTGTTCAGAAAACTGGAGTCTGCACCCACAACAGAAAACAGGGTCATGAAGAAACTGCTGCGTAAAGGACCAGGGTGGGGCGGGAGAGAACAGCCAGTGTTGCTTTACCCCTAAAACAAGCAGAGGGATGTGAAAAGTAGGCCCAAGGCCGGTGGCCACAGCTAGCCCGGCGGCCGGCGCCGCCCCGTGGGCGTGAGATACTACAGGGCTGGAGGAACACCGACCATTCCTGCCCTTTGGCTCCAAGGGGACGCCACCAGAAGGGAGCTCGGAGTTCATGGTGGCCTTCTAGTGTGAATGGAAGGACACTGGGCTATGGAGGCCGGCTGAGAAGCACCCTTGAAGCTGAGGCAGAGGTGGTCCGCGGTGGCGGGGAAGCGATCCAGGGTTGACTCCTGTGAGACACAGGCCTGGTGTGGCTGAGGTTGCACAGTGCACGTGGTGTATGCCCTGGTGCTCGAGGACACAAAAAGGGCAGTGGGTGAAGTTGGGGACCGTATGTCCCAAGGGAAGGGGGTGAAACCTCCAGGTACCTGCCCGCTGCATTCTGGAGCACACACATCTCCGAGCTGCAAGGAGTAAGGAGGCCTAGTGGGGAGTGGGCCCAGAAAGGAAATTGAAGTTAGGATACCAGCCCGGAAGAGGGTGCTTAAGGAAGGATGGTCGACAGACAGTTCGGAAGGAGGTAGCAGAAAATGCAGACCGAGTTGATGGGGACAGAGTGACCAACACTTGGGTTTCTGAAAGTAGCAGAGAAACACGATAGGCCATGCTTTCTTGAGATGGCTGGGGCCTATTCTAACAGATAGTTGTTGCTTTTAGAAGCAATGTTTCCTCAACCTCCTCAATCATCTCTGAGATGAGAATAGGAAGGTCTGGTAAGTGGGGTGATAGTGTCCAGGAGGATCCTTGTCCTTAGTCCTCGGGTCCCCCATCAGGGGTTGCGGAGGGAGCTGTTTTGAGCTACTTGAGTGAGGACCGGTGGGCCCTGCTAGGCTTCCAGTCTGCAGTGGACCGTGAGGCTCTGACTGTGAATCAGACAGGAGAGGAGTTTTCAGGCATCAGGACTAATGCGGGGCTAATGCGGGGCTCCGAGCCTGAAAGGGGCAGAGAACCACACCAAGAATCAGGTGCCCCTTGCAGCCTGCTGGGAGTCTATCCCAGAGGGGGAAACCATAATCTCCTTTGGAAGAGATGGGAAACACATAAAAGACATGGTTTACTCTTCCAGCTATATGGAAACGTGTCCTTCCTAAATTTTCTTTTCAGCTGAAATTAATAAAACAGGTTCCATCTACACTAATCCTGCAAATTTTCCAATTACCACCTGGGCTGACCTTAGCATGGTCAAAAGCGAGAGCTTCTTGCTGATCTCCCTCACCACAATTCTGTTTCCCCCTTGGCTGATGTTCGTTCCACTTTGCTCTCTGTAGAATGATCCCTTTTCCCTTTTACTCATTTTCCCAGCCCAGTAAATGTCTCAGACTTCTGGATTCAGATGCCTTGAGTGTTTAAAAGAAATGGTTCTTTAACAGTTAGGAATCCGGTGGCTAATGGGGGAGTGTGGAGTGTGAAGGGGGGTAGAACAGGGTAAGCCAAGGAGAGGAAAGAGGAACAGGTCATAAAAATAGGCAGACCTACTCCTAGGAGGACAGTGCATCCCGCTGTCATTTCTTAATCTGAACTTCAGCAAACTCTTAAAACAAAAAAAAAAAAAAAAAAAAGGCGCCTGCCTTCCACGTTCCCAACCTCTAAATTAGTGAAACCAGATTGTCCTAATAAGACCTTTTGTTGGAAACACATGTAGTCATAAAAAGGTAGACGGAAAGTCAATTAGACACGCGTGCACACACGCACACACTCCCAAGCCGGTACTAAGTGTGCACCGGGGTGCAGCTGGGCCCCGGGCCCCGGCGGGTTGCAAATGCAGAACAGTGGCGCGGGAAATCGATTTGTCACAAAGGGAGAGGTGTAAACGCGGCGCGATGGAATTGCCCGCCCAATCCTCCCTCCACACTCCTCTGGCCCAGCTCCGCCAACTCCCCCCCCCCCACCACCCCAGAGGTAAGCCCGGGGGAGCGGGAACATTCTCTAGGGTGCTCCCTAGTTGGAATACACCTCAGAATATCAATTTCCCCGGAGTTTCATCTTTTGTAACACCTAGGGCGCCAGGAATTTCTGCAGCACAACCCTGGGGCCCCGGAGCTGGTGCTGGGACTCTGAATTTGGGCCTCAATTATCTTGATTCAAGGGGAGCCAACGAAATATATCATTTTAAGGGTAGCCTGGAAGTTTTTTCTCTTTATAGGAGGCAGTGAAATCCAGGATCAAGGTAGGCCACTGAGTCCCCACGGTTGCATGTCAAGTTCAGAGAAGAGGTGGTAAATCTTGTTTATCTTACAGGCAGGAGCAGGGCACTGGATGGCCTCCTCTTCATATTTTGGAAAAAATGGACAGTCTGGTGACTCCCACCCTCCTGGTGTAGAAGGGCAGCTTGGAGTGTGAAGGTCAGGGATCTGGGTCTGCATTAGTAGGAGGCCCCAGGCAGCCAATACTCTCTGGGGCTCCAGATCACCCAACTCTAGAGGATGTGAGCCCCTGCCTCCCCTTCATTTCTCTGATGGAGCCCTTTCCAAGACTCCGGAGTGCCCTGCCACACCTTAGGTGTCACGCAGCCGTGCATTTTGGCACAGCGGCTTTAACGGTCCCCCACATGCTTAGGTCAGAACATAGGAGCGTCAGGCGGGCAGCCGTGGATCACACGGAGCCCGGCAGTTCCTTCCTCTTCCCAGGGGCCTCATTTTAGATTTTACAGCAGGAGTGAATAAATCATCTCCAAACCAACAAGATGTCACACACACCCCTCCCCTGCGATAAAACTCCAGCAGCTTCAGAACCAAGGATACCTTCCTACTCCACTGGCTCTGATCCACTCTGATGTTTTGAACGGCCCTCCCGGCCAGCAGCCACCTTCGAGGCCCTTTTTCACTTCTAAATGATTATCTGTAGATTTTCAACTAGAGGTCTATTTGATTTTTATTTTAAAAGATGTTTCTTTTACAATTCCTCTCCTATCATACCCTGTTTACCTGCTCCCTCCTTCAGCAGGGCACGCCAA